TTTTAATTTTAATACTCTATTTTTTAAGGATTTTTTTCAAACTTTTATATTCATTTTATTTTCTCTTTTTACTTTTATCATTTAAAAAATTAATACTAGGGATTTTTTTAACTCTAATATTACAAAAATTCAATACCTAAAAAAAATATATATATATATATATATATATATATATATATCTGTGTGTATATAATATAAGTTTCATATTCTTTTTTTTTTTATTCTTTAATTTTGGATTATTATATTGAAAATAATATGTGATTTGGATAATATATTCAACATAATTACTTGCAATATTAATAATATTTTGAACGGGTCGAGATCACTCATCGAGATTGTCTTATATGTACTTGAGATCCATATTCTTTTAAATGAACAACAGTCAAGATTATCAACTTGAGTGTGGTTTAATATGATAACACGAACTTGCACGGTTACTCTCTATAAAACATTGATCGGATTATTCCTTCTAAACCCTTCATGTATACACATTATGCTTAGAAACTATTAGAAACGAGCAAATGATTATCAACTTGAGTATGGTTCAATATGGTAACACGAACTCGGATGGTTGCTCTCTATTGAACATTGACCGGGTTATTTCTTCCAAGCCCTTCAAGTATACACATTATGCTTAGAAACTACTAGAAACGAGTATCAACTTGAGTATGGTTCAATATGGTAACACGAACTCGGACGGTTGCTCTCTATAGAACATTGACCGGGTTATTTCTTACACGTTATTCTTAGAAACTACTAGAAACGAGCAAACGAGTATCAACTTGAGTATGGTTCAATATGGTAACACGAACTCGGACGGTTTCTCTCTATTGAACATTGACCGGGTTATTTCTTCCAAGCCCTTCAAGTATACACATTATGCTTAGAAACTACTAGAAACGAGCAAACGAGTATCAACTTGAGTATGGTTCAATATGGTAACATGAACTCGCACGGTTGCTCTCTATAGAACATTGACCGGGTTATTTCTTCCAAGCCCTTCAAGTATACACATTATGCTTAGAAACTACTAGAAACGAGCAAACGAGTATCAACTTGAGTATGGTTCAATATGGTAACACGAACTGGCACAATTACTCTCTATAGAACATTAACGGAGTTATTACTTCCAAACCCTTCACATATACACGTTATGCTAAGAAACTACTAGAAACAAGCAAACGAATACTCTCCCAAAAGTTGAAAGGGTACGATGTCGATTCGTGAGAAGGCAACGAAACCGTAGGAAAAGAGAGTTGGCGTCCAAAGGAGACATAGTGATGGAACAAAAAGCAAGAAGAACAAAGAACAAAACACATTTTGTCTTTAGGCAACGACATGAATCTTTGTTCATCTTTTGGTTGTCGTTGAGGTATCTTAAATGGTCCAATTTTCACTAAAATCACCCAACAATTTGCTCCCTTTCCACATCTTCCTCCATCTATATATCAATTTCTTTGCTTTCATTTCTCCATTTGTCACCTCCTAATCTCCCAAGCTATACTTTTATAAACATATATTTAAAAAACGCTCACAAAGTCCCGAGATTTGAATTCAGTCTTTATTTTCGTCTCTAGATTCTCAAAGCTCGATGGGTTTTTATTCTCGAGGTTTAAATTTGATTTCCAACGAGTATTTGAAACTCGAAGTTGGTTACCAAGTGATTCTAGAGCAGAGTTGAACCGTTAATTTACTAAATGAAAAAATATATTAAAGAAACGCTCAAGGTAACCTAGTCTCCAAGATTTCATCTCATTTTTTATCTCGTCTCTAGACTCTCAAAACTTGCCAGGTTTCTGTTTTCGAAGTTTTCGAAGTTCATGAACCTCGAAGTTGGTTACTAAATAGTTCCAGAGTGGAATTGAATCGACAATCAAACAAAAGACTAATTTACCCTTGGACATAGTTAATTAGGGTTTTTAGGTGGGAAAATAAAGATTTAAAAAATATAAACAAATTAAATATAATTGTAGAATATTAGCTGTCCACTTTAAAAGGAAACCCTAAAATAAATGATTAAAGTACTAATTATAATTAACCTTACGTATTAAGCTTCTACAGATCATACTTACACAATAATCCCACGTAAAGAATATAAAGCCTAATATTCTTGGAATATTAGGTATATAACCAGTTCCATTTATTTATTTATTTATTTATTTTTAAATTTCTACTTTTAATTTTATTTTTTTTATTATTAATTTTATTTTTTTTTTTTTTTTTTGCTTACTAATCACTTTTTAAAAAAAGCACTTTAAAATTTTTAATCTAATTTTAAAAAATAAATAATAAAAAGTTGTCGTCCCATTTGATAGCAATTTTGTTTTAAAAAAAAATAAAAAATTAAAAAAAAGTTATATTTGTACTATGTCTCCCATTTTCAAAAATTAATAACAAAAATTTTGAAAATTATATATGCGATAATTTTTGTATTTAGCGGATCGTATATGATAAGTAGCTTCCAGATGAAAATAACGAGTTCCCGACAATTTTTATTTTTTTTATTTTTTTATCTAATCAACTACGTAACCTACATAATCAGCTCAATGACAGCTAATCGTCACGTACTCAACGCATTTTATTGAATTATAACAATGATATTCTATTTTATAATTTAGCTTACACATTTCTTTTAATAAACATTTTACTATAAAGTTTTTTTTTTTTTTTTTTAGAATAATAATCATAATAAAGTTGTTACAAATATTAATTTATGTCTCAAACCGACCAACTTTCTCACAATAGCTTTGCTTTAGACATGCCCATGTGATATATCGGTCCTCAATCCCTAAATTCTATTTTTTTTTTTCTATTTTAAAATTAATTACCAGACTAATTAATAAAAATACCCTTAAATTTTATAATTTTTTTTTTAAAAAAATTATAAAATATCGGATAATAGGGAAAGATTCTTATTTTATTTTGTATTTTTAGTATTTTTACATAATGGACTTAGGTCATCAAGCAAGGAGAATAGAAGTGTGACTTAGAAACTATACTTTTGAAATAATTATAAACCTTTGAATATATTCTATGTTATATATATATAATATATATATTCCTCACGTAAGTATATATGTACCTGCTAAATCGTCAATTAGAATGAATTTTAGCTCTATCTTATCGTTTTTTTTATGTCGCTCGGGAATGTTCTATAAAAATAATGGATGAAGAAAAAAAATAAAAAATATTAAACTATGTAAATATATAAATGCAAATTTGAAAATTTGAATTTTGAAATTTAAAATTTATATTAAGAAATATTTTTGGGACCAATTAGGATAAAACTAACTTATTTTATATATATATATATATATATATATATTATTATGAACTATTACTAGAATTTTTCTATTTTTTTAATAGAAATTATTCATTTAAAATTATTTAAAATGAATATATTTTTTGAAAACTATATAAAATTGAAAAAATATTCATTCACAAACTTGATCCTTACAATAATAAATAAAGAATTTTGCAGAGATTGTGAATGAAATAAGGGGTGGACACAGGGATGAGAAAGGCTTCATTGTCCCTATTCCCGTCCCCGTCCCCACCTCATAGACATCTCTGATTGTTGCTTTGATATTACGTTAAATCATCAATTAACTTAAAATTTAAACTAATAATTGATGGTAAATCAGGACTAGTCACTTGTGTTCGTGTTTGTGTAATATCTAAGGGTAAATTAAGACAACGTGAAGAAAATATGTATGATTCAACATTTTAGGGTTTTGATGACGATAGCAACAATGTCCATAAAACTTTTTGAATTTTGAAAAGTGATAGTTGTATATGTTTTCCCCGTGTAAAGGAGATCATCACCCAACTCATATAACTTTTTCAAAACCACAAAGAATCTTTCTTTTTTATACTTTACACGTCGGTTTAGAGTGGGTCTTTAGAGTTATTCTAGTTTGAGAAAGGAACACTTACGGAATGAACAATTAAGAGGTTAGCATAACCTAAAAATGATGAGTAAACAACCGAGATTAAAAGATTGGTTTTTGTAAGATAAAGAAGGTTAATATCGTTAACCAAAGAAGCTTAGGGCATCTTTCTTTCTCGAGCACAAACCAAAAACAAAAATTAAATTAATTAAGAGTTCTATTTTTTTTTTTTTTTTTAAAAAAAAGGGTTTTGTGCAATGCTTCGAAAAGGGAATATTGGATTTGATTTATGTATTATTGGTACACATTTTACTTTTATTATAAACACGTTTTAAAAATCTTAACAGGTGAGTATAAAAATTTTATAAAACGTTTTTTAAATGTCTATTAGATCGAGTAAGATTTCGAAACTATCGATGAAATTATATATAAGACGAGTCAAAATCTTGCTAATTGCTTAATTAGCGTTTATTTCTTTAAAATTATTTTTGATAGAATGGTTGTTCAGCCAATTTTTAAAAACCTATATCTAGTCAATATATCACTTTCATTTGATAGGATGGCTAAAAGTGAAAAATATTGTGTTTATTCACATGACATATTAAATATGTTTAGGTTATTTACACACTCTAACTCTTCCAAAGTCCTATTTTTCCTCGGAGTCGGACTAAAAGATCTACTACTTTCATTCATGTTTCAAAAATAGATAATTTTGTATCTTAAGGTATATAAAAGCCGGGGCAAATCTATGAATAGGAGATGTGCAAGTATCAACCGGACCCAAATTATCAAAAGACTCTCCAATGACGTTGAAAATTTGGCCGAGATTCACTCTGCCGACTAGAACACTTAGAGAACTCTCGTGACAACCACTTCCATTTCTCTCATTAGACCATCTGTGTGCGTGTGCGAGACTTATGACACCTGAGTAAAAGAAGAGTAACTACACAATTATGGTGTTTAAAAAAAAAAATATATATATATATATATATATATATAAACCCTACACTCATCATTTTTAGGTTTAAAATTTAAAATTGGAAAGAGGCAATCAATTTTATTTAAAAAGAAAAAGAAAAAGAAAAAGAAAAAAACTAAAGAAAGACAGCCTTCAAATTAATATAACCACAACATACATATTGAAAGCTATTTTGAAAGGGAGCGATTGGGTTTTGGTTAAAAATTCAAATCTTGGACAAAACTCGTCCCCATCTCTCCTCTCATTGTTCTTCTTTCTCCCCCTCAATTCCCTCAAATTTTGAATTTTGATCTCCATTTCACCCTCACCCACCCTTTTTAAAACCCTAATTTTTCAACTCATCAGATTCTGAATCTCCATTTCAGGCCGATTCGATCCCTGCTTCAATGGCGAACGCCGACTCTTCCACTCCCTCCACCCCTGCCCCCGTTCCTACATCAGCCGTGAGTTCCCTTCATTCCTTCGTTTTCAGTTTCTCATTCATTCTGGCTTTCGGGCTTTATCAACTTTGTTGTTTTTGTTTCTTTCTTGTTCACAGAAGAAGGAGAATCTCACCCCCATTGGCTTGAAAATTATGGTATTGTTTTCTACAATGTGTTTATAATTCTTGAATTTAACTCCAATCTTAACAGATTTTGACTTGTCTCTTCTCAGGAATTGAACGAATCAAGAGCAGAGCTGCTTGATAGAATTCAATTTCTTAAGCAGGTGGAGTCTAAGATATAAAATGTCCTAGCTGTGAGATAAAGTTGGATGTTCTTGGTCATTTACTTGTTTTTGTGCTCTGATTTTGTGAACTTTCCTTGTGTTTGAGCATTTCAGGATCTCCAGAATTGGAGGTTAAAGCTAGACACACAAGTTAATACCTACCGAAGTGTAAGTTAATAATGTATTGCTTGTTTTCTTCATTCTTTTCTTTGTATTCATATCTTTCTTAAAAGTAGGCTTATCTCTGTCAGAATGCCTTGTTCTAAGATATCTGTGTTTTAGTTTTCTTTGATGGGTCTATATGATCCATAAACAAGTTGGTCATCCAAATGGAGTGTTTGAAGATTGGATCCTGTGGCTTATACTGTGAGATCCACCTTAGTTAGGAGGAGAACGAATCATTCTTTATAAGGGTGTGGAAACCACTCCCTAGAAGAGACGTTTTAAAAACCTTGAGGAGAAGCCCAAAAGGAAAACCCAAAGATGACAAATATCTACTAGCGGTGGGCTTGGGCCGTTACAAATGGTATTAGAGCCAGATAACGGGCGATGTGCCAATAAGGACATTGGGCTCTAAAGGGGGTGGATTGGGAGGTCTTACAAATCTTGAGGGGAAGCCCGAAAGGGAAAGCTCAAAGAGGACAATATCTGATAGCGGTGAGCTTGGACTGTTACAATATCAGTTAACTGATTCTTGGTAGTTCGAAAAGGGTTTCGAGTCTGCTAATGTTTCCAGCAGAGGATACTTGATCCCTCAATACCTTGGTTTAGAAGGGAAAAAAAAGAACATATGATATTAATGACCCTTTTGTTGGTCACGCATATTCCTGTTCTTTTCTGCTTTTGTATCTGTTTCTCCAGCATCACTTGACATAGGCATTCAATTCTCATACAGGAACTGTCTGAACTCAAGAAATCGCTCAACGTTGAGGTGGAGCAACTTCGCACGGTAAGCCAAATGCTTCACTCAGATTGAATGTGCTAAGGGTAATAAATTTGTGGCATGAAAGCAGGAATTCAGAGAACTAAGGACAACCCTTCAGCAGCAACAAGAAGATGTGACAACTAGCCTGAGGAACTTGGGTGTAAGTTCTAATTCTAATGACTTTCATACTCAACAAAATACCTCCAACCCGCCTCGTCCCACCGTATGTTTTCAACAGCCATTGAAGAAAATTTATGAATCCTGGCAGGTTCAGGATGATTCTAAGGACAACAACAAGACTCGACATCAACATCCTGTAGCGGAAAGCAGCGACAAGGAAGACGAAGACGAGGGTAAGAAGGATGGACTCCATGGCTTAACAGAGGGTAAGGGAAATGAAGCTGAAAATTAAGAGAATTTCCATTGTGTTCGTAATGTGGCGATGGATTTCCACGTTTGACTGTTTTTCAAAGCTTTGTAATGGGATTGATAAGATTTTCCCGGCATTTAAGGAAGCATTGAATTTGTAAGTGTAATTTTTTACACGCACATCAACATTAATAAGTTCATTCTTCAAGGATATATGTATTTAATTTTTGGGAAGCAGGGCTGGTGGTATCGATTTTTTTCTCAACTAGCAAATTGGACTACTCAAAGGCTCCTATTTATATTCCTTTGTGGGTTCATAAGAACATCTCATCACTCTTTTTATGAATTATTCATAAGTGGCCAGTAATTGATGAAGTTATTGCCAACTGACAAACAATTTTAATGTTTTTTTTTTAAAGATCGTCTTTTATCTTTCTCTTTTTCTGTTCCCAAGGTTTGAATTTTCGATTCTTTTTACCACTGGGGTTATTAGATTTGAATTCTTACTTTTAAAGGTAACAGGTGGATAATCAGGATGGACAATACTTTGAGCTAGGAAATTCAAAATTTTGACTTCTGGATCGACATTACATACTTTAATTAGTTGATTGAGTTATCCGAATCAATATATATAGATCGATTACAGAAAATTGTTAAGAGTATTGGGCTAAAACCTAAATAAGGTGGCTGAGGTCTGCTAGTCCAAAGCGAGGGATTTGCTATTCATCTTTTGAGCTGTGTTCTTTTAAAAACAAATACCTATATAACCAAATACAAGCTATACATAAAAATACTTTTGAAACAAACTACATCACTCTCAACAATAGACTACAAATTTAATTTAGGCTACCAAATTCAATTTTACCAACTCAATCTATAAATACTACTCAACTAATTAAGATATATATTCTCAATAAAGAGATAAAAAATTTGAATCTACGTACCTTGCATGTTGTTGAACTAACAAAAACCAAATCTCCATGCGGTGACCATAATTAAAAGAACAATTAAAAAACGATACTATATTTTCTCTGTAAAACTAAGTATATACAAATATCCAGCAGAAGGAAGTTGTGCGCTGAGAAATACTGAAAAAGGAAGGGAAATGAGAAAGGAGTTTTGCTGACTAAGTGAGGAAGTACAGATTTAGTGAGAGAAAAAGGAGAAGTAAATATGGTGCATATATAAGACCACCTACCCTTTTAATATCAACAAGACTTGGAAATGCTACAATACACAGAAAAGCTAAGGCTCTTTTCTTTTTCATCTACATTGTTAATTGTGTTGTCCCTTTACCTTTCCCTTCTCTCTGTCAATCAAACTCATGTTGCGTGGGTATCTCACATGGCGTGGGAAAATGGGAGTGCTCTCTCTTCTCTTTACTTTCCCTCATCCATTATTTGCAATTTTGCAACTAAAATTTACTCACTGTGCAGTCTGGTGGTGGTTGAAGTTGTCATCTTAACTACATGCCTTTATTCAAGGATCATGGCCACACGTCTACCTAAAGGGGATGGCCTTTTTTTGTTTAGACAGTGAAATAATGGTTTAAACCAGGTCATTACTGTCTGCATAATAAGAGAGAAGATGGTATGACTAGTAGCTACATTGTGATGACCGTCTAATAATTTTCTGTCTTTATGTTTTAGTTATTTCTTTGTCACTACTTTTTGGAGGCTTTATTCTTGAAAAGTTCAAGAATGTGACAATTATTACAACATAACAATTTTGATCTTAACTTTCAGTTTGACTGTTGTGAATGAATATCTTTGCTAGGATTTGCTTTTGAAATCTTTAGCAATTTCAAAAACCGAACATGGGTTTTTTTTTGGATAGGATAATACCTGCTTTTCCTAGTTTCGAAAGATTTAAAAAAATATGCTTTTAGATGTAGACAACTATAAAGGCTAAGAGACCTAATTTTAAAACCAAACTGGCAATCAAAACCTAATAAAAGAAGTCTTAGATGGCTGTGGCAAAGATTTTCAATCTCCAGATAAGGAAAACCCTCACTGGACAATCTTGGTTTTCTTAATTCCTACGAACCATTCTTCATTAATGCCAAAGACAAGAGGAAGGGTTACAGCAAGATTGAAAAGGCAGCCGCTGTGAGTGAACATAGGGGTCGCCAACTGGGAGGAGATAAAGAGTATGGTACATTTGGTGGAAAGAAAAAGGAATGGTAAATAATGTAATGTGATACAGAAGAAGATTAAATAATGGGTCAATCGAGATTAAAGAGGGAGTAGTTCAGCTAATAAAAAAGAACATTTAATGCATGATGAAGATTTTAAATTGTTTTGAGAGGTTTAGAGTTTCCAGGACATTTGTTGGGAGAGAGTGAAACCTGGCAGCCTGCTTTTAAATTCCACTATAATTACGGGGAGAAAGCTAGGAAAGCTGCTACTCTTTTGTCATTTTCTTGATAGACCAGTGCTCTTTTGAACTCCCTTCTTCAATACTATGTATATAACAATGCCATGGAAAACTGGCTCCTCGACTCCATAGCTTCACTTCATTTCAATCTCTCTCTCTCTCTCTCTCTGAACCAGAAGATTTTTAGTCACTCATCTCTTTCTGAACTGGGACTTTCCCTCCAATGGCTGTGGTATGTGCTGAAGCAGCACCACAACCACTTAGAGCACAGGTAACATGCCTTCCCATTAGCAAGTTTTTAACTTTCTTTTCTTCTTCTTTTTCTTCTCCTGGGGTATCCTAGCTCATCCCCTTCTTTTGTTAACAGGTTTGGATCTTGAAAGTTTCTATTCACTGTGAAGGATGCAAGAGGAAGGTTAAGAAAGTTCTACAGAGCATTGATGGTACCATTCCTTATTGTACACTTCTACTATTTTTGGTTTCAAATGTGTGAGAAAATTATCAGCTGACAGTCATGATCTCAAACCACTACCATCAGCTGGAATAGATGAAGAAAGTTGCATCTTTTTTTTCCTATGTTAGTTTTCTTCCTAGCCAAACGTAGGAGAATTTGGGTACTTCTACAATTGACCACTGGCCCAAATATTTGGAAGTGATGGCTTTTCTTAATCTTGTAGGTGTTTATACGACCGTCATTGATTCAGAACACCAGAAAGTTACGGTCACCGGAAATGTTAGTCTTGAAACTCTGACCAAGAGGCTCGCAAGAGCAGGTAAACAAGCGGAAATTTGGCCAGAAAAGCCAGCAGAAAAAGAGAAACAGTTCATCAAGATGTTGGCGACTGACAAAGGGAATGGCCAAGAAAATGGAAGAAGTCCGAGTACAAACAAAGCTTCAGCAAAGAAGGTTGAGTTTAGGGTCAGCCCTGACAAGAATAACCGTGTAGAAGAGATTAAAAAGTCAAAGAATAATGGAAGCTCTACCAAAAAGCTTCCGGCCGGGGAGTCGCCGCCGGTGGCCAACTACAAGGGCAATGCTACTGGACATGAGGGTTATTCTCCAGACAAAAGTGTAGGGCAGAGTGGTGAAAAGAAGAAAAAGAAGGGGCATCCAGGTATTAACAACGGTGATAAATCAGGTTCAAACCCCCGGAATGGACATGGAACACTCAATGTGGATCCAGATGTGGACCTAAGAAATGGTAGCCCACTGGCCCAACAAATATACACGGGCCCTAAGGGTTATTATTTTCCTCCACCTATTTTGGGGTTAAACTACTCTGCGCCGCATTTAGTTAAAGGTCCTGAATTGCTTCACCATGCCCCACCGATTCCATTTTCACATTCGAATGATCAGACTGGAAACTATGAGGATCAAGCAAAGCCACAGACCTACCTGGATTATTTCAGTGAAGAAAATGCCCATGGGTGCATCATTATGTGATCTACAACCCAGCCAATCTCAAATCAAAGGCAAGAGATGATGATTTGAAGTGCTAATAGTAAAACAGCGGAGCATGAGTATAGATAGATGTACATGAGTGAGGTCCAAAATGACAGGAAGGTTATCAAGTAGCAAAGTTTTGAAGGGTTGGGTGCTTCTAATTTTTTGGGTGAAAAGTACTTTAGGGTTATTGTGTTCTCCGTCAAATGAAAACTTTTTGCAGAAGCTTTCTAATGACTCTGACTAGGAGTAATCTATAAAATTATTCAATTTCAAGTTCATCACCATAGTTCATTGGTTTAACATTATGCAGCCTGAGATATTTCTTCTATTTAGAACAAATGAATTCATACATGTAAACTTTGTAAATCCATACTAAGAAAATGTGGACAGCATTAAGCATTTTTGGTTCTTACTCTAACATGCCCCCACTCAAATCCAAATCCCTGTCTGTTATTAGCATATCTAAAGCAAATTCAGCGAAGGGTCAAACAAGAAAATGGTAACAAGCTCATATTATCAGAACAAATCAAAATAGTACGTAATTACCAGAGTTGTTCCATTATCTAGGACCCAAACAATTCAGAAGAAAGCGGTACTATTTGCATTCTAAGGACATTTTCTTTCCTAGTCTTCAGTGCGTCTTGGACCAATCAGTTTGCGTGTAAAACTTAATTTAGGAGCCATCACTGGTGAAGAAAGATAATTGTCATTCTCCGTGGGAGAATGTAATGATATTTGCAGGCCAACTTTACAGGGGAGGATGGATATATGAACCATCACAATCACTCGTGAAGTCACGTGTGTAAACAAAGGTCAATGCCAGAACCTGGAAATGTTCTTAGCGGCGAGTGACTTTGAGGGATCAAAAACTTGGTGAATTTTATCAAAATAAGATGCAGAATCTAACAGACCCTAAAAGATGGTGAAATTCTTGAGGTGTATTCTTTTTTCTTTTTCTTAAGAAGTATGGGAATGGGAGATAAACTTGTCATATATGTACCTTAACCACCAAGCTTCGTTTTGCTAGTTGCATCTTAAATTAAGCATATTTGCTGATAAAAGGTAGTATGGCATTATCTGATAGACTGACTACAATGAGAAGGAACAATTATATTTATGAATAGTATTTCCAGTTATATCGGTCCAGACCCACCACTAAGACAATTCTTTGTGGTTACATCCAAACTTTTTAATTGTTCTACAATCTTTGTGCAAACTATATCTAAGAACAAAGGAACCTTCACTATAATTAAAAGGTATTTTATTGTAAAGGTTCAAGAACCAGATTTGAGAACAAGAGGTTCTTTGATCAGATTTTGAGCTAATAACGTCAAGAAATATAGAACCCTACCAAAATCCATTATCTCTCACTCAGATATATAAGGTATGAGAACTACCACTACAGAATATAACTATAGAACAAAATGAGCTAAAGTAAGGTGAAAATGGCCAAATTTAGGCTTACATGCTAGTAGATGCCCTTGTGGTGCGCTGATTTGTTCCAAGGATGATTACAATAACAGTTACATCATCGTGATATTTCCTTCTTCTTCCGGCTGGAATGGTAATTAATTCTTCCTTGCTAAAACCTATAAAACAAAAGTTCTTACACCATCAGCACCGGTTGATGCAAACAGAACCGACATTTTAAGTTACCAGCACAAGATTAGTTTACTTCTCTGAGCAATATTTCTAAGACGCCCAGTATTTCATAGTTTTCTTATGGGGTATATGATGTGATGATAATAAAGAACTCAGCTCTATTTAAGAACTGGTGTTTTTCGAGGTTAGGTCTGACTTGTGTACAAAGTTCAAGCTGAGGCAAAATTGTACTAAAGACTTCGTACGTAGCAAAGCCTATAAAAAAAAGTCATGGTAAAAATAGGCGTTATAATACTGCTATAATTTCTCCAGCCGGCCAAAGGCAGATATATGAAGGGCAGTGCCCTCGCTGAACTTGTACTCATTGTCAGTATCCTTCAATAACGACAAGAATTTATAATATTAAAAGACAGCTCTCCAAAAAAATATCCTGGGGGAGAACAGCTAAGAGGATACTATCTAAAAGCAGCAAGGGTACTCCAACCTCAACTTGTTCCAACATCATTAGCTTTAGTTGAGAATTAAATGATAGCAACAGCAGTCCCTATTTCTTCTTCCTTTTCTTTCCCAATAGTGTCAAAGGTTTTTAATATTATATCCTCTCACAAGGAATTGAGAGTTCACCTTTTGTTGAAGGGAAGGCTTAACATTAGACATACAAGCAACTTTTATCACAGAAAATTAACAATAAAACAAACTGGAAAGTTGACTTAGCTATCAACGTCATATGACAAGAAATGTAAGCTTTAAAGATGTCCTATTTTTTTAGCCGTGCATTTATGATAATATCATGCCAAAGATAAGTCAGCAAATAGTAAACTTTTACTTCCATAAAATGTAAATTGGGAAACGATTCAAACATTCACACAAAACTATCTTTGGAGCTCACCTGCGCAATCAGCAGCTTTCAATAAGAGCTGCTCCAGTAAATATTTTGCAGGATCACCAGTTGGGTTGCTCAAGATATATGAATGGACAAGGTTCACTGCCTCGTCATTGCCAAAAAAGTCAAATAAACCATCACTGCCAACTATTACAAAGCAATCTGATTTTGATATCCTATGGACAGACAATGCCGGTTGAGTAGAAATATAGGGAGGGCTTATTAGGTTACGAACTCGAAGAATACCCATCAAAGCATCATTAAACTTTTTCTGCAGAGAAATAAATGTATAATAATCAAGTTAAGATGGACTAAAATCATTTCCAGCAATGCAGACTAGGTGGTATACCTGGTTCACTCAGAAATGAATACCATTTTTAGCATTGATACCACATCAACTTCGTCCTGAAAATTCATGTCCTATATATAATAAAGTGATCATGCATATTGATTTTTCTGTCCAGAGCTGATACGGATTATCAATGTCAGATGATCTCCAAAGTGACAGGAGAAAAACAGATAGAATCCTTACAAGTATCGGTTGGGGTGGTGGTTTCGTATAAAGAATATGCATGGTTAAGGCATAGCTATGGTAAATATCAAAACAGGTATTATAGGTTAGCACGAGTACTTTGACAGAGAATGTTTTCTAATAAAACCCGGCCAAAAACAGTCACCAAAACTCTATTTCATTTAGCAGCCTGCATGCTTCTTTTATTTATTTATTTTTTTCTGACAGAAGCAACCTGCATTATTACTAGCATATTCAGACAGTGCCGCTATTTTATCTATTATTAAGTTTCTATACACTGCACAAGCAAAGAAATGATTTCGTGTTATATGAGATTTTGGGCATACTGACAGGCACGCAATGTATAACTGTCGCATACCGTCTTCAAGTAGCCAACTCCAAAAGCACGAGTCACCTTCAGTTTTCCTTTGACTTTCCCACCAACAATGATTGTGGGATCATCAGGATGATCATATTGTAACTTCGCTCTTTCAAGTGCATTATCCACAGTGTGACTCTGAGTGAGCTGGACAGCTTTCAGTCCCCTATTCCCTCTCATTGCACCTTCATCAAGAGTAGCCAGTACTGCTCTACTATCACCCAAATTTAATGTATATAAATCCTTTCCATGAAGAAGAACAACTAAAACACAAGATCCAACAGAAACTAAATCAGGACGATCCTCCATTTCCTGTTCAACCATGTGCAGAAAATCATTCTCTGTTTGACTAAGAGCACGCTGGAGGCTATCTAGCACCCCATGCCTTAGAGGATAGTTTGCCATTCCTGCTTTGGCATGTGAACGTTTCTCAGATATATTGTTGATTCCTGAAGCACTTTTACTATTGTTTCTCAAAGTAGAAAAACTTCCCTGAGTAATGCTACTATCATCAAGATGTGAATTATCCATGTCCAAAATATCCGAGGTTTCACTCTTGGCACCCCAATCTAGTAGGCTAAAATAAAATACGATGGTTTCATACAATGTCCCAGCAAGAAAATCAGCTGCATCTCTTCCATTAAAACCATCATAAATTGCACAAAACAGCCATCCATTTTCTTCGGAACAAACAGCTTGGACCCTGTCCTCACCAGCAGCTCCACCTGCCACTTGCAATTCCTTAACATTAAGAAAACCATCACTTCCGGAAGGAGCACTCGTGGACTTTAACAAGCATGAATCATATTCAGATGTTGGGGTAGATGGACTGCAACTTAAGTTTGACAGACTACTCTGCAGAGACGTTGACAATATATCCAACCTTGAAAGAGTAGGTGATGAGGGCACCTTACGGAAGGAGTTAGGAGAGTCCCAGGTCGGAAGTATTTCTACTCCTATCAACCCATTGCATATATTTGTGTTAGCTAAGGTTGCATTTGCACTCAAAGCAGCCCCAGATAAGCAAGAGAAACTGCTGATCCTTCGAAGTCCAGGCTGGATCTCGAATTTGTCGGAAACCTCAATTCCATCTATGTTATCATTGCATTTATAACCAAAGCTAACTTCAAGTTCTCCCTCGGCTTTTGTTGAAGCTTCTTGAAGCATACTATATCACTGTTAAAACAAATACATTTCATATTTAAAGCTCTTTAATAATAAAATTGGCAAAGTTCAGTTACTATGCAACATTTACAATTTTAGTCAGATTTGAAAGGTCACACTGGATTTCCTTTTCTGTGCCACTAAATAAATCCAAAGAAACTTGAAACTACGGCTTCTAAACTGTGAAGATTATTTTAACCCAGTATGTATAATATCAATCAATTGGTTGAAAATTGAAGTGTGCACCATTGCTGTTGTTAATTGACAAATGCAAATTCCTAACAACATGCGTCTGGTTCCATTCCTACCATATACTCTTTCTTTTTATAGTCTCTCTCTCTTTTCTCTGGGGGTGGGCGGGCATTTGCTGATCTATATTTCTCCATATTTCCTTTTACGTATATCTCATATTTCTATTTCATAATTACTTTCCCTTCATATAAAGATCCTAATAGAGCTCCAGTCAGAAGCCATAATACTAGTTGCTTAACAATCCACGGTGTTTGGCTCCTTTCGTCAAATTCTCAACCCAAAGATCCTCCAACACATAATCTTAGTAGAACAAGACGATGGGTATTAATCTGATAGAAAATCCATACTCCAATTTCCTTTAGGCCTCAATCAAATTTGATTAGCCCATATGAACTCCTCCAACACTTCTGTTATTTTTCCTTTCCTTTCGAAAAACTAAATTTAGCCATGCAAATAAAAAATAAACAGTGAAATAATCACACAGTTCCAAAAAAAGTACAAGAACATGACAAAGAAACACGAAATAGCCTTCCAGTATCATATAGCCACGAAAACAATTAATTTCTTAACTTCAACGGCAGCTACAGAAAAACGAATTGCACTTCAAATGAAAAGGAAAGAGAAAGATAAACTAATCAAGCTCACAGAAATTAACCGCCAGCAATACAAATAATCATCAGAGAGGAGAAATAAATACTGGAATTAACCAAACCAAAAAACACCGATCCAGAGAAGAACCAAAAAACCTAATAGAAGAAGCCGCACAGCCGCCACAAACACCAACAACACACGCTTCAATCAATTAAACTCAGCAATTCAAAACGACACTTGCAAATACATAATACAACAAAAAAAAAACAAAAAAACAAACAAACAAGCTGCCGGTAATGGTATTACCGATAGAGAAGTGATAACGAAGCAGTAGGAAATTGAAAAACAAGAAAAAAAAAGGCAGAGACGCACCTGAGAGCAGAGAATTGAAGCGAACGGCGATCAAGAAGAGAAGCAAAAGGCCGAGGAAGAAGTGAAGAGAGAAGCAGGGAGGGAAGAACACATAGGGAGAGAGAGGAAGAAAAAGAGGGAAAGTGTGTTGAGAGAGAGAAGCAATGAGTGAAAGCGAAGACAGAAATGGGAATGGAGAAGAATCTGTATCTGAGTGGTACGTTAAAGGCGAAGCCATTGGATGGCCAGGAACAACCTCTGCTAAATTTGGAGAACTTTTTTTTTTTAAATAATTTTTTTTTTTTTTTTTACAGCCTTTTGCTGATTTAATGCTGCGCCTTTTTGTTTAATATCTTACTAATTAATTATCCAACTTCCTAACTGATTTTTTTTTTCAACTTAAATGTGTTTTTTTTCCCTACTATATCTTCAAATTTTATTATTTAGTATTATATTTTTAAAATATTAATTAAAATTTAATAGTAAGAAAAGTTTTTAATTCAACGCATGAATTTAATAGAGAAAAGTTGAAGGAAAAAAAAGACAAGAAAATGGCTTCTATCCATGATTTCTATTATTTTCTTTAATATATTGTTAATTATTTTCTTTAATATATTGTTGATTCATTTATAAAAATTAAAAAAAAAATTAAGATTTTAATGATAAATTATTTTATATTTTTAATTAATTCAGGTGGCCACAAATTTACATTTTTTTTAATGGGCATATCATAATGATTTTTAGAGGCTAAAGTAATTCAAATAATTAATAAATTTATATTTTAATATATATTTTTTAGTTAAAATATATTGTAATTTAAATTCATTAATGAATTTTAACATCTAGTGAAACAATAAAGAATGAAATTGAAATGTTTAATGGGCTAGAATCCCAATTGGAAAATGACAGGAACACTGCCCGTGAAATTACCTATTTAGCCTTTTATTTTCATTTTTAAAACCTCATATTTGTCTATTGATAATTTATTTATTTAAGAAAGAAATTTTTATATTAATTTTATCTCCAAATTGAATATTATTTTTAATTAGCCTTCATCAAAGAATAATTAATAAAAAGTAACGTGCTTTGTCCTAATAAGTTATAAACGACCTAATTAGCTTATAATTCAATTAATACGTGATGAAAACTATATTATAAAATAAAATTAGAAGAAAAATGTAAAATATTTCCATATGGCCCCTACAAAGGACATCTGGAGGCAAAGTTGAATGGATTGGCTTTTCAGCCACTGAAAGAACCATTAGTTTAATACGACTGATTATGTACCACTATCAACTATGAAGATAATGGACTTCAAGAATGGAACAAAACAAGCTTGAGGCTTTCATCAGATCATGAACATAAAAGAAAGAGATCTCTTTCTTTGTCCCTTTCTCCCCTTTGTCTTTCTACTGTTTATGATTTGATTTGAACCCTTTGTCTTTGTCTTGGTCTTTCTTTCTACTGTTTTTGATTTGATTTTAACGACGATAATGACAATGACTTCAAATCATCGTTAACCATAATCATACTTCGTCATTTTCATCGTCATCGGTACTTCACTTCCAATATCATGTCACTTCAACATTGTATATCCCATTTTCTCAATCGAGTTGCCTCTAACATTTCTATTTTGCGATTCAGATTTGAATCTAAAGAGAGAATCTCTCCCGATCTCACTTGAGACTCACCCCCACTGGGGGAGGCTCATCATCTCGCTAAACTGCTTACCGCTCAAGGGCGCGAGAGTGCTTCTTGCTCGAATTCTCAGGCTAGGATCCATTTGTTGTGGTCTACAACTACCACTTATGATTCGATTCCTGAGACCGCAACCATGAGTTTGCGCAAACCTGATTTGGCTTTACAAAGAGCATGTGTTAGAAGATGCAAACAAAATCCTTCGACTAACAAATCCCTTGCATTTCATTCTGAAAAAACTAGACACAATAAGAACTCTTAGATGCTAACCTAAGTAGACACTAGAAAAACAAATGAGCTACCATGGAAAATGTGTAACTAGTTCTCGTTTTCTTTTCTCATTATTAACAACATCTCCAAGGACAACCTATCGGAAGCTTAAAGGCATCCTATCATATCAACAAAACATGAGGCCATATAGAAGCTCACTTTGGTAATTCCTTTCAATGGAAAATGAAATTCAACATATCTCATTCACCTTAGTTCTGTCCCTTTTTCACCCACCAAAGCTTGTACCGACTCGGGTGCAGTCAAGTTTGCATTGAAAGAAACTAACGAGTTTAAATTGTCAAAAGAAACTAACGAGTTTAATAGGTTCAAAATTTTTAAAAGTGCATCTCTATCCTTGAAAACGTTGATGTAGAGCTGAACCGGACCAGCACAATCATCTATTGTTGATGAACTTCGACTTTCTTCTTGTGCCAGAGCCGATCCAGTGCGCTGTCAGCATCTCCCTGTAAAGCACCATAAGTATATCAATATCAGCGTAGAGAACTGTAAGGCTCCCACAACAAATGGTTCATGTCTTACACCTTCCAACAAAGAAGGCATGACAAAACCCAAATGAAAAAAGGAGAGTGCTCCCATAAAATAAAAAGACAACAGCCACATGATGATTTCTCGTGGAAGATAAATGATATAAACAAGGAAACAACAAGCAAAGGGGAACTCCAATACTTGAACTAACTTAGAAAAAGAAGGGAACTCCAAGGCTAATTCTTCTACAGGTGAGCCTTTGACTCGAGAACCCGACCATCACTCAGAGATGAGGATCATACTTACAATAATCCTATACTATTAGGAATCTGACTCGAGAGGAACCGCTAGAGCAATTTTGCAAACAAGGTTCCGTTACAAACCCTGAGATTCTCAAGATCTAACCCACCAAGAGTCAACGTTTTTTCCACCATCACCCATCTCACAAAGTGTGCACTTTCCCCCTCATAAACCCCTTCCCAAAAGAAATCAGGGATCGACTTCTCAATACCTTTAACGACCGTCCTACTAAAAACATCCACAACAAGCATGAAAAGGAAAGGAGACATAGGTTCACCTTGCCAAAGATATCTCAAAACTTTACCTTTACCCCCTAGGTTAGCCATTAATAAGAATTGAGTATTTGATTGGTCTAGTACGAATCCAAATCCAAGCCTCCATCCATGCCCAATGAAAGTTGAAGATTAAAATAAATAAAAAAAAATCCTTAAATTCTCATCAGCCCAGATTCCAATGGGTGAGGACACAACTATGAAAAGATGTAAAAGGAAATATTTGTATACTTTCAGACTGTTTACTCTCCAATGGCTTCTCTTGCCATTCAAGAAAATGTTATAGTACAAATGCAGACAGCAGAGAAGGCCTTTAGAAAGGAAGACTATCAGAATTCTTTCGTTACTTCTCCTTTTCTTTTCCTTCCTCCAACGCTTTCAATTGTCTATGGATTTTAGGTTAGCTAAGCTCCAGATTTCTTCTCTAGGGCTATAATGTAGTCAAACTATAAATCTTTAGCATTCATTTTTTAACAAACGATTGGTTTCAATTAACTACCGCCGTTCACAAATTAGGAGCCATCACAATTGAATAGGCGATAAGAATCTCGAACAAGTTATGCTCAATAGCGCCTCCTTTTCCTGGCTAACAAAAATCAAATACCAACAGATGAAATCATAAGCAAGTTAAACTCATCTTAACCAATACTTCGACACAAAAATGCAGAACAATGCAGAACACGAGCCAAATCGGCATGAATAGAATTAGATTTTTGTTTGCATCACCAAGACAAGTCCTATTCCAAGTCCAATACTCTTATACAATAACAGATTAAACCACATCCAATCGCTACAAATCCAAAAACAGAGACAGATAGATAAATAACAATCACCTGCGCCCGAATGAAACCACAGAGAGCAAAAGTGGAGAACTGGCCAGTGTAGATGCCATTCTCATCCAAATGCCCAATGTTTATCTGAACCGAAGCATGATCCTTGGAAGTAATCAGCCGATTCGTGGCGGAGCTGAATCGAAGACACAATAAGTCATAATCAAAGCTCAAATCACATGAAAATTAGCAACAAAAGCATCAAAAGCTAGGCTATAATATTACGAACCATTTTCTGGGAATATAAAGCTCCGTGATTTTTCCCTCTTCGTTCTGCATCTTGAATCAACTAATTCTTTAGAAATCAAAAACCTGCTTTAATATAACTGATCAGTGTTTCATAACAACACATACATTTGAGACCACCAAAAATGATAAAACCCTAAATTCATGAATCAAACAAAAAAAAAAAAAGTCTTTAGAGAGAACAAACCGCAGCGCAAAGAGGAAAGCGAGCTATCCGAGAGGAAGAAAGAGGCGTTCTGAAGAAACCTGAAGCTTAAAACAGAAACCCTAAAGCTTTTTTTTTTCCTTTTTTTTTTAATTTTAAAAAAAAAACCAATTTATTTTGAAATTAAATTATAGGTTTAAGATCCAATTAAAAATTTAAAAGAATAAATAGATTTATTTGATAAAAATTAATATACAACAATTAATTAAAATATATAACTAATAAATAATTATTTTTTTTTTAAACGTCGAATTTTTCAATTTATAATTAAAAAAATAAAAAATTTAAAAATAGAAGACAAAATTGTAGCCTATATATATATGAATCCTTCAAAGGAGAAATTGCGCCATGCAACAACGGAAGGCTCTTCTGAAAAAGAACACCTGAATTCCCTCTGTAACGTTCAATCCTCCTTTAATTGCCTCCAAATTCATTCCCCTTTTCGCCCTAATTTTCCAATCCTCTCAGAAATTCTCGATTCAACAATGTCTTCCTCTCCGCCGTTCAAATCCAGACCGGAATCCAAATACACCAAGGCCAAAAGAGCTCTCCGATCCCTCGCCGTCTCCGTCGCCATTCCTCTCACCCTTACCATCGCCGTCATCTTCCTCTTCGGCCGCTCCTCCCGCCATTTCCCCAACCGCAACCGTCCGATTTGGGTGGCGCCGCTCTGGCTCCTCCATCTCTCGTCGATCAGCTCCTCTTTCCTAATCGGCCTCGCCGCCTGGCTCGTTTGGGCCGATGGTGGCTTCCATTGCGGATCCAACGCTCTTCCGCTCTACATCGCGCATCTCTCACTCAGCGTCGTTTGGAATCCTCTGGTGCTCGTGATTCGCGCTCGTCTGCTTGCGTTTCTGTTCTGTGTTTTGGATTTAGTTACTCTGTATGCTTGTTATCGGACCTTCAAGCGAGTGAATCCCTTCGCTAAGGATCTGATTAAGCCTTGTTTGGCTTGGACTGCGTATCTCTGTGCTGTTACTTATGTGTTTATTGATCTTTGATTGAGGATTTTGCTTGCCATTTTTAAACGATTTGTTCATCAATTATCACATTGATTAGGATGTTGTAGATTTTTTTTTCTTTTTTCTTTATGAAACCGCAACCAAGAAGCTGTTAGAACAGCGAAGGTTTGTAAGATTAGGGGAAATGATTTATGATTTGTTTATCAAAACGTAGGTATGAACAATTCGATCTGTATTTTGGATCTCTAAAATCATGATGCATTCTTTTGTTTGTGTTTCTTTCTTCAGAGTGATCCAGATCACACTTCGAGTTCTGTAATGTATTTTCATATGTTCGTCTAATCATTTGTATCTGAATAATGTGGTTGAATGATTTTTGCGTTTTCTTGTTTGGATTCAATTTTGTAATTCAGTCATGAACAGAAATCCGATCCATATGCATGAATACAGAAAAAACCAGAACGCCAGGATTATAAATCAAATTCAAATTTTAAAATTGGAAGTTCAAGAACTGTGTAGAATTTTATATATATTTTTTATACAAATATATTTGAAAATGGATTTTTTTTTAAATAAATATATTTTCTGAAAAAAGATACATAAAGGAAGAAAATCGAATTATAATTACATGGAGATTCCCTTGTCCTTACATTTTAAGGAAGGATTAAAACGTCAACCTTCGCATTTGCATCTAATTTGTTGAAATATGGACACGTCCTTTATGTTTCCATGTTTTTGTTTTTTATTTATTTTTTTCCTTTTTAAATATTATTTTTTCCTTTTTGAGAAATAAATAAAATTGTATTTTATAATTATTTATTATTATTACTTTTCTTGGCATTCCCAAATTTAATTTTGGATTTTTTTTTTATAGTTTTTATGATGAATTTGTTATTAAGATTTAATGAAATTCATTCATCAATTGAAATTACATAAATTAAATTATTTCAAAATTAAGTTAAAAAACTAATTGGTTATTTGGAAATAAATAAAATATTTTCTAAAATAAAATTCAAGGAAATTAAAATTATCATCAAATGCTTATAATATTTAGAAATTATAACATTGTCAATTAATAATTATTTCTATATATGAAATATTTGCCCAATTATTATTATTATTATTATTTAGATTCCTCACGTCCGACGAAGCTTCCTCCATAGATTTTTATTTTATTACACGTTCTCTCTCACCAAACCAAACCCCTAAGCCCACGTTTACGTGTCCATTATTTCTTAACATGTCATTAAATTAATATTATTTAAATTATATTACATAATAACTTAATATTTTTTATTTAATTATATATTTCAAATTAAATTTACCGTAAAGATTATTATAAAAATCAAGAATATTTGACTTTTGTAATAAATATTAATGATGTATTATAACTAAAAAATATTTATTCGGGTAATATTTAATAGATAAGTATATATATTTAAAATAACACCACGTGGGCCCCTTACCCATATGCCATGTTTTTTAAATTACCCTTCGTAAATATTTAATACAAATCTCAAATTATTTTCATTTTATTTACCATTTCACCACCACTGTAAATTTTGGTGTTTATTCCATTATTGAATAAAATTTAATTTTAAAATCAATTTAGATTTATTGTTAAATAGTTTAATTTTTTTAGGTTTTTTTAAAATAACAATATTTTAATACCCAACTCAGTTCAGCAGCTTGGCGGTTTGTTTAGTTTTGTAATTTAAAAAAAAATATATTTAAATTAAAAGTTTAATTTTTCGTTACTAACGATTCTTGTTATTTTGTAATTTTTTTTATAAATTATTTAATAAAATAATAAATTAATATTTAGGGATCATATAAAATTTAATAATTAGGAGAAATCATAACTAAAAAAGAGATTGGAATTAGAAAAAATAAAAATTATGAAAAATAAATAAAATAATAAAATAAAATAAAGTGGGTCCCAAGGGAGAAATTCATCAACGACGAAAGTACTGACGATGACGACAAGAAAAAAAAAAAACAAAAAAAAAAAACGGAAGAAATCTGTGTGAATATATAAATCGCTTTACTCTCCAGATCTTTCTCATCGTCCTCCTTCCACCGACTCCGTAAAACCCTCTTCCCTGTCGATCCTGTTTTTTTTCTTGTTCGGATTTCCAGATCGAAATCAAAATCTTCGATTCTGATTGATTTTGTTTCCTGCTTGTCTTCGGAGGCCCGCCGAATCTCGTTGCCGGAGTCTGAGAAGATGATTGAGCGTATTCTCGGCCCCATTCGCATCCGTCGGATCCAGAGGGCGTTCCGCCACAGCGTCGTCACTGTCCTCTGCCTCTTCCTCACCGTCGTTGTCCTTCGTGGCATTGTCGGCGCTGGTAAGTTTGGCACTCCCGAGCAGGACTTCAACGAGATTCGTAGCCATTTCTCCTCACGTGGCCGTCGTGTTGAGGCTCGTCGTGTTTTGGAAGAGGCACAGCCGGATACCACTGCCAAGGCGGCTGATCAGTCCAACAATTACGCCACATTTGATATTTCGAAGATTTTGGTGGATGAAGGTGAGGATGAGAAGCCCGATCCGAGTAAACCCTATAGTCTTGGCCCTAAAATCTCTGATTGGGATGAACAGAGAGCTGAATGGCTGAAGAACAACCCTGATTTTCCTAATTTCATTGGTCCTAATAAACCTCGAGTTCTTTTGGTTACTGGTTCCTCGCCGAAGCCCTGTGAGAATCCTGTTGGTGATCATTACCTTTTGAAATCGATTAAGAACAAGATCGATTACTGTAGGCTCCATGGGATTGAGATTTTTTATAATATGGCGCTTCTTGATGCTGAAATGGCTGGTTTCTGGGCTAAGCTTCCGTTGATTAGGAAGCTTTTGCTTTCACATCCGGAGATTGAGTTCCTATGGTGGATGGATAGTGATGCTATGTTCACTGATATGGCTTTTGAGGTTCCATGGGAACGGTATAAGGATCATAATTTTGTTCTTCACGGATGGAATGAGATGGTTTATGATCAGAAGAATTGGATTGGATTGAATACTGGAAGTTTTCTTCTGAGAAATTGCCAGTGGGCACTAGACATTCTCGATGCTTGGGCACCGATGGGGCCGAAGGGGAAGATTAGAGATGAAGCTGGGAAGATCTTGACCAGAGAGCTGAAGGACCGACCGGTTTTCGAAGCCGATGATCAGTCAGCCATGGTGTATTTGTTGGCTACGCAGAGGGATCAATGGGGAGCAAAAGTTTACCTTGAGAATGGGTACTATTTGCACGGATATTGGGGCATTTTGGTGGATCGATACGAGGAGATGATCGAGAATCACCATCCGGGGTTAGGCGATCACCGGTGGCCTCTCGTCACCCATTTCGTCGGGTGCAAGCCATGCGGGAAGTTCGGAGATTACCCTGTTGAGCGATGTCTGAAACAGATGGACAGAGCATACAACTTTGGGGATAATCAGATTCTACAAATCTATGGCTTTACACACAAGTCACTAGCAAGCAGGAGAGTAAAGCGGGTTCGGAACGATACGAGCAATCCATTAGACATGAAGGATGAACTCGGGTTGCTTCACCCTGCATTCAAAGCTGTGAAGGTATCATCTTCTTCTTGATAGCCATGGAAATGCTTGAATTTACAGGGGTTGATTGATGGTTATCATGAGTTCAAGTATAATATAGTGTTGAAAATGGTATGGATTTGGTATATTTATATATATATATATATCAGTTGCCCATAATATTGAAGAATTGTAAACTTCTTTCGTGGGGTTAAAAATCTGTCTAAATTTCATTGATTTTTAGAAGGCTTTGTTTCTTAGATCAGCTTTTGTAATGAAATGATAGGGAGTTCTTGAAGAAATCTGTTCATCGATCTGTTCATCAATCTTTATGAGTTGTTTATTGACATCATATTTCATTATCTCAACCTCCTCTAGTGGTAGCTTTCTTGCATTATTGTGCTATTATTGACTCAAATTTATTAGGGAAAAGTTCAATCTTTTACCCCTTCCAACCACCGTTAGAGACGAGAACGAACGATACCTTTCTCCATAGTATTTATTGATATAGGCCCGAGATGTTTATATTCGAATCTTATCTAGAAATCATATGATAGACTCGAAGGCCCTGAAAATGTGTGAGGTGTTCGTAGTTCATGCAATAAGGATAAAATTCATTTAGGGTTGCAATTATTACCTATGGCTTAACCCAGAGGCGCAAGACATCTGCTCCATAGCCAGGGGCTTCCTGTCAAACAATAACAAGACACCCAAGGGATTTAGACTGGGCAGCTTTGAAGTATGTTAACGAGGAATATATTATGTTTGATTTTTCATGTTTGAAATTAAACATATATAATTTGTTCTGATTTTTTTAATCGAGATATTTACTGTCTCTAGACGCTAAAAAATTCATTCACTTTTATCGTACTAATTTTTTTTTTCAGGGTTAAAACTATATTTACCACCTCTTAATTTGAGGGCCTTGTTGGTGATTAGGGTTATTTTTTCTAGATAATGAAATTTCTAGACTTTTTAAATATATTTATACAAGTAAAATTTGTTCGTTTGTTTTAAATATATTAGGGTTCGTTTAGCCTAAAAGCTAAGCGATAATAATAGAAGGTTTGGTCTTTAGTCTACCATTCCAAGGTAAATGCCTAGCTAGCGTGATAACGGGACTGAGGAAGATAATAGCTAGTTTTGGACTAGAGTAGGGAAATGAAGCCTAAAAAGCTCGATGCATGATCAATCAAGCTAAGTTAAGAGGCTGGCCTTTCACCAATCAAGCAAGCAACCAACCAATTCCAACGATTATAGTGATAGTTATCAAAGCAAGAAGTACCGACTTGCGGTTACTAAATGAGTTTCACACTATTTCCAACGAACCCCTATTCTTATATTTAGAACGAAGTTGAAGTACACCAAAAAAGTTGGGGTAAGTGAAGACGGGCGATACTTTAATAAATAAATTAATGCCTCGCAAAAGAATGGAAAGATAGCATCCATCTCATATGCTCATGCTCTACCGTCAAATGTGCAACAACAACTTGTTTATTGTCTTTCACAATCTCTCTTCCACACCAACAAAGGTGAAGGGAAAGAAGAGAACAACAAGAAAAAAGCTGTTCTACAGAACAAATTCCTAAGAAGTAGAAAGCAGAACTCATCATGTAAGAGTGGAAGCTTTCATAGAACACATAAAAATTCCCAAACCTAAAAGAAATCTTGATGATCATCATCATCCTAAGGGTCTGCCAAGCCCAGCAGCACTTATCTAACCTTAACCCCCCAAAGCCACCGCTTATAGGGAAGAGGTAACTTTGAGCAAAGACTGAGCTTGAATCGGCGACAGATTAGTTTGGCAAAAG